CCTTTCTCATACCCCTCGAGCCCTCACTCTTGATCAGTGTGGGCGCGATGGGGCTCATAGGTGTGGCCTATGCCATCGCATTTATACCCACATTTGAATCTATATTAGACATCGCATTGTATGACACAATTTAATTATTACTAAAATACTAATTGTTTAATGAATTGTATGAATATTTACATTTAAACAGAGATAAAGGATTTGCAGACAATATCTCAACCTATAGTCTAGTCTCAGGCCTATGGAGTGCTATGTATTCATTGGGGTATAAATTGTGTTGAATTTTTTATTTAGTTTTATTAATTTTTTGTACGCTTTTATTGATACAAATAGTGAAGTGACGGGTCCGTCGCTCGGGGGATGGCTATCGGAAAACTTTGACTTTTCAATCGCCTCCACAATTATGGCTGCGTTTGCGTTAATGGGTGTAAGTATCCTGATACAAACCAATGAACCCATTAGTAAATGCCTTATAATTCAGGCCATAATCGCCGGAATCACGTTCTTCTTCGTGCAATACGAGGAGTCCGACTCATCCTCGTCTTCATCCTCTTCCTCGTCGTCCAGTGAAACCGATTGCGAGAAGTCTATGGCGAGCAGTAAAAGTGGTCGCACTTCGCGCAAAGACTCCAACCCTCCGCAGCCCTGGGATGAGGAGGAGCTGGAGAAGGAGTCACTGCTCAGCAATTCCATCACAGAAACACCAAATCATTATTATCTCAATAACAACGGTCTCATCAAAGGCAAGGAAAAGGAGTTATTGTTTTCTGTCGCCAGTATTTAAGCTAACGCTCAGCCATTCATAACCTATTTCTCGTCACTATTTTATTAGTAAATGTTTTAAAGCCTTTCAACTTCTCTCTAATTTGTAAATAGTATTTAATTTATAAGTCTTTTCATTAGTAAATGTTTGACTTTTAATCACTTGTTAGACGTCTTTATTATATGTTATAAACTCAACAGCATTTTGACCACTTGTTCATTGCAAACATTCTTGTGATAAAAATGTACAAAAAAAGAGATAATATATTAGCAAAAATGACTATTATATGAAATTATATTACAATTACTATAAGTCACATGTCGTGTCTCAGATAAGTTATCAGGGTTTTGAAAAAGAAAAAGTTTTCCATTCAATCATTCATGTTTTCTATACATTAAACATTAGCTCATTTAAGGTAAAAACTTTTAATAAATACCAGTGATTTCTGAATACTATGTAATAATTACAATTATTGAATTTGAAAAATTATACTTTTTATAAATCATTACTCATTCACACATTAAACTGTAATTTATTAATAGAATTACACATCTTATATCAAATCCAATCACATGTTTAACGATCTAAATAACAGTTAAAGTGAACAAAAAAAAGTTTCACTTAAAAAATAAAAAATATTTTCGTTTTAAATTAATTTTATAATTTATTCAAAAGTATATATGAGTTAAGATATGGTTTACTTGATTTGACATCGTTTTCATGACTTATTTTTACTCTTTTCGTCGTCTGATTTATCTGACGCCCAATCTTTGGACTCGTTGTCGCTGTCGGAGTCGTATTCACCGGAACTCTCATAACCGGAATCTTCGGTTGAAGAAGGGGTCGCTTCCGGCGGATCAGACTCTTCACTCAAATCACGTAAGTTTTGGTCAATTTGTTGTCCGGATTCTGTCAACAGTTGTATAAGCGATTCCTTGTGACAAATATTTTTGGCTGTAAATAAGGTCAATGCGGTTCCCTTATCCTTATGTCTACCGGTTCTACCGATTCTGTGGATATAGTCTTCCATTTTTGATGGAAAATCATAATTAAGGACGAGTCGGACGTCTTTGAAATCTATATATTTAAATAAAAACTAATTAATGAAATCTACGGTCGAATAAATTGGCAAAAAACCATTGCATACCTAACCCTCTGGAGGCTACTTCAGTGGCGACCAATATAGGAATGGATCCCTTTCTGAATTCTGTACAAAATAATCATATCTTAATTGTGGGCATTCTGTGAGACATCGAAATGAGTCAAACCTCTGATAACAAAATCCCTTTCGTTTTGCTCTTTATCCGAGTGGAGAGCGCGGGCCGGAAAGGAGTCCCTCTTCAGCACTCGTACCAAACGATCGGCAGTTCTCTTGTGTCGCACAAAAATGATTGTCTTCAAGAATCCAGAGATGGTTGGAATGAATTCATTCATATATTCCATGAGTTTCTCGTCTTTCTCGGACTCTTTGCACACTTTCACCAATTGTTGGATATTCTTGTTTAAAGTCAACGATTCCAAGGATCGGGTCTTTGAGACACTGACGTGAATGTAGTTCTTGAGGAACCGGTCGGCTAAGTGTTGCACCTCTGGGGGCCACGTGGCCGACAACATGAGGGTCTGTCGCTTTTGAGGCAAAGCGGTCATTATGTCATTAAAATGAGATCCCATTCCCATTTGCAGCATAAGGTCGGCCTCGTCGACGGCAATGAAGTCAATGAACTCGAGTTTTGCGATCCCTTTCTCCAGAATCGAGTGCATCCGCGCCGGTGTGGCGATCACTATGTGAGGGTTGGCCCGCTTTAGCAGCATCTCCTGTACCTCGTAGGAGACGCCGCCGTACAGACACACAGAGCGCACGAATCGGAACTGTTTGACCACTCGCTCGACCTGATGAGTCAACTCACGAGTGGGCGTCAGTACCAGACATTTGGGCCAATGGTCCAGACCTGCCGACAACGTCCGCATCTGTGGACACAAACACACCGTATATTAGATCCCATGTATGCGTGGATGCAATGGTTGTCTCATACGAGCGCCGGCAGCACAAAGCAGAGGGTCTTTCCGGAGCCGGAGTTAGCGATGGCCACCAAATCCCTGCCCGAGAAGATGATGGGCAGTGACTGCGACTGAATGGGTGTCGGCGTCCGTAAGTCCAACGACTGGATCCGTTTGTCCAACATTTGCGGCCATTTATAGCAATCAAACGAATGGATCGGATCCGGGATTGAGTCACCGAAACACTGGATCCCATGCTCTTCCCTATACTTCTGGACATCGATTATCTGGTCCTCAGCCGTCGATTCGCTGTTTGGACGCAAAGACACAAATCCTATGGATATATAGGCAATAGTTATGACCACAAAAACAATGGTTTGGATTCTTATGCAAGAGTTTCACGAGACATCCGAAGACTTACTGTGAGTATTGAGGCAAACATTGGTCGATCTGATGGACAACTTGTTTGCGGATGTGATTGACAGCCAACTCTTAATCAACGACTTTGTGAGACAAACACTCATTGTTTGTAATCATTAAATGAGTTGTCATTTAATGATAGGATTTGTGAAGTGATTGAAACAAGTCTTCAAATAAACAAAAACACATGAATTGAAGTAAACATTGAATGAGAGCGACATCTATGGGAAGGCATTGCTTGACATTGAATGGCAATCGATATAAATTGTATCCATTCATACAACGCGTTACGAAATGCATATGATTTCACTTTTCATTGAAGCAAACACTGAAACCCCCATCAAAGATAGGCCACAAATAGCCATAGATAGCAATACATACGGCCTTCGCATGTAAGTCAATGTCAATCACCGCTCCCTCCCCTACGCGCGACACGTTGTATACGAGTGTTTCGACAATTAATTATTTTCACAATTTGATTGCCGTTTGAATGCGTGAGTCTTACTCATGATTGCCTTCAGTGTTAGTATTACTGCCAAACATGTTATCAACAAATCATTGCATTTCGCCTACAATTCAGTGAACATCTCATCGAAAGTACAATACATTTACAACGAGTTGTGTTTAGCATAGAGTCTATGCCATAGACTTCACACTCAGACCTGTATTGTGTTTGCAATTCATGTTTTGATTAAAAAATTTTATTAAAAAACAATTCATTTGATATTTAGTTCATTAGACGTGCGGATAGTTCATAGATTACTTGTACTCTATATAATGGTATTGTAGCTAATAATTGTGAGCAAGGTGATTGTGCCGTGGAATCCGTGTGATAATCAATGGCCACAACCAAACACCGCAAGAAGTTGTCATCGGAGGGCGACTGCAATGAATCCAATATCAAGTAATTGTCTCATAAATTGCCCACAAATTCACTGTTAATCTCACGATATGTTTAGCGATGCATTGCTGAAGACGTTTAGTGAGGGATTTGTTTGACTATTGATTTAGTCATATATTGTCTTACTTTTCACTGAAAGTACTCAACACTAATGATCTGTTTTTCGTGTTTGCATTGACTTTGAAAAGACAATAATATTTGTTACGAAATAAAAGTTGATATAAAAAGTAATCATAAATATTATGATTACGGCTATAGTTATAGTGAAATCGATTTTCATTACTAAAACAAACACAATAATTACCTAATGATCATTGCTTTTGCATTTTAATGCCATTATATAAGTGCATGTCTTGTGTATTGTCTGTCAGTTGATGTCTTGTATGTCTCACGAGTGATGTCTCCTTTCAGACACCGATTGCACCACTTATTCGGTCAAATCGAGAAGGAATTCGATGGACTCATCACCGAAAACGTCGCCCGTATTGCCATTTATTATCTCATTATTCAATGATTGATATCTGCTTTTCATTTCATTATCATAACATGTCTTGTATTTTATTCGTCGATAAAAAAAATTATATAAATATTTTTTTTGTTTCATTTTATGATTGATTTTTTCTATTCATTTTCAGTCAAACAGCAATTTTTTACTTTTATTTTATTTCATTTTCGCATTTGATTTGGCTTTTAGTGTCTGAACAAAAATTATCTTTTACTTGACTTTTGAAAAGACTTTTTACTTTTATTTATTTAGTTTTTATTTATTTTTGAGTTAACTCTCGACTGGGAAACCGGTTTTCATTGTATTTAATCATCACTTTATAATCGTTTCTCAGATTTTACTTTTAATTAATTTTTGGGAAATTTTTCTTTTTGTGTTAAAATATTTTCTGTATTTTACTTCTCATTTGAATATATCTGAAGTCAAAGAACGCGTGGAAACGCTCGAAGAGTTGATCCTATCGTCCGGCGCGGCGCCCACCGAAGCCTCCAATAAAGTTCTTCAGCAAAAATTGTCCGTTAATTCGGTGAAAAGGGATTCAATGGTCGCCGGTATTGATTGGCACACACTTTGGTTGTGTTTTGCGTGAGGTTTTCATTAATGATTCATTTCTTTGTAAAGCGAGTCAATTGTCGGCCAAAATCAAGTCGACGTACAAACTGAAGGCGTCGGGACGTAATCTATTCAAAGGCCAGTCGGTGTCCGGACACCTGATCAGCAAATATGAGTGGCATAAGGACGGCCTCTGGTATATCACAACTGCTCTCAGACAGCAGAAGCAGTTTATGGCGACCGCGTCGGCCGGTAAGCGACCCTTTTGTTTGATTGTAAACTGTGTTATAGTAATGGTTTGGACGCTGTTATAGACGGAACGGCGTGTGTCTGTGATGTGACTAAAATGGATGCAAATATATCACCCTTTCTGTCATATGTCGGTCACTCCGGGTGTTCTGTGAATTGTATTAAATTTCATCCCAATTATGATCTTATAATGACTGCCGGCGGCGATGGGTCTACACATATATGGAGACCTAATTTGGAACATGTATTGAATAAATGAATGTCTTATCCATTAACACATCTATTAATCACTTTTTCCTATAACTTGAATCCCATTCAGTATTTGCAACGAAATTCCGAAACCGACGACTCGTCTCAAGAGATGCCCGAAGAGAGTCCGACGCAAGTAATCAAAAACAATTTGTGTGAACTGACGGGCCATCAAAGTGTGGTCATATCGTGCGACTGGATCTCCGGTGTTGACCAATGCGTGACCGCGTCGTGGGACAGGACAGCGAATATTTATGACTTCCAAACGGGCGAACTCGTGGTCCAGTTGGCCGGACACGACCAGGAGTTGACGGACGTGTGCGCCCACGAGTCCGCTCGGCTTATAGTCACCTCATCGCACGACACGACATTCCGGTTGTGGGACTTTCGGGATGCCATACATTCCGTGTCTGTATTTCAGGGACACACAGAGTATGTATACCTCTAATCCGGCGCTCTATCTATGCTTTCACTCATGTATTGCTCTATTTTTGTGCTGTTTTTCAGCATTGATTTGAATGAATGCGAGAATAATTAACAAATTAATTAACATTTAAAGGTCAGTGATGTCGGCCTCGTTTCTGGGAACCGATAAAGTCATTTCAGGGGCCGATGACAGGACTGTCAAAGTGTGGGACGTAAGTGATAAACAATTACTTAATTCATTAGCCCATAAGCGCTCGATTAGGCATTTGCGCCCACTTTCCCTACCATTCCTTACGCTTCCGTTGACCTATAATTTTGCGCAAAAATTCAGTCAAAACCTCATTATATTTATAACACAATTAATGTGTGTTTTTGAACCCTTGTTTTGGGCGCACAGTTACGTAACATGCGTTCGGCGCTCACATCCATATACGTGGAGTCGCCGGTCAATAAGTTTGACGTCTCGCCGGAGGACAACCTCATAGCCATTCCGCTGGACAATCGACACGTGCGAGTGTACGACCTGTCCGGCAACCGGGTGTGCCGTCTGTCCCGTTCACAACACGACCGAATGGTGACGTGCTGTGCGTTCGCACCGGTCAACCAAACCAATAGCACCCACTTATTCACCTGTAGTTTCGACCGCAGGGTCTGCCTCTGGAATATTGTCACTGAATTCAAGTCTTAACTTATTATTAACGGACTGTCCTTCGCGTTTCAAAGTCTATAATTAAATTTTGTTTGTTTTATTTGTATTATACTATTAATTGCATACTTATTGTGTGCGTTTAACTATTGTTTTTAAATTATTATTTATTTGGTTTACGTTGTAATCAAAACGGTTTTTATGAATATAATCCCATTTTTGAGGAAATTTTAAACGAGAAACGAATCTTAACTTTGAATTTAAGAGCTATTTATTGAAGCTATGGTTTCAATGCCAGCAACTGATGAAAGCCTATGTAAGCTAATCACTAGTGTGTTGTATTTGAAATATAAAAATTAAATTATTTTTATTTATTCAAGAGATGTATAGTATATTCGATTGAAATAATAAAATAATATGATATTTCAATTGCTTTTATGCAATTATGGATTTTATTCTCAAATTTTAATTGAATCGATATTTTGATGACTTTTATAAAATTGATTTTAAAATATTAGCCAATCTATTGAAATACTGTATAATTTTATGTACTGTTTGCGAGCGATATCTCATTCCTGATTAGAAGCACTAGTGGTAGGCCTTGGAGTGGGAAACGGAATATTATTTCATGAATTCATGTATCGATTTATATGATATGAAAAATTCATTTCAATTCACATTCATTGACCCAAATTCTGATGAGAATCCTCTCATATCGCGCGAGTACTCAAAAACAACATTTTCGTTGATATTATAATTATTGTACATTTTTATAATCATTTTTATTATAAAATTCAATGATTTCTCTCTATAAGAGTGGCGTCTCATAAAAATAGTGCAAAAGATTTCTTATCAAAAGTTAAATGTTAAGTGAGTTTTCGAGATATAAAAAACATGTTCAGAGAGTAAAACAGTTCAAAACAGATCTAATTATTAAAAACAGTTATTTAAATATACATTTTGTAAATGTGTTGCAAATATAATAAAAATGTGTTTCAATTCTGATGGACAACCCTTTCAAATGAAGTACTCTTTCTTTTTGGTGACGTCGGGTCCGGTCTTGCCTTTGACGACAGCGGTGTCGGGATCTAAGGCGTGTTGGGCCCCCTTGTCCTCGTGGGTCACGTAATCACCCTTTTGTCGCGAGACGAACCTCCCGCTGGCGAACAGACCTAAAATGATTATCACAATAATGGCTGCGATAACGCCCCCCACGATAGCACCGGTAGAGGCGGACTGTGGAATGGTTGGCAGTGTTTCTCCCGGCGCTAATGTCGGCGGCGGACGGGTTTCAGAGATTTCTGGCGAACAATGAATAATACAATTGTCAGTAAAATATTGAGAGGCTTTTCATGAGAAGTAAGGCCACAAACCGGGCGGATGTGTCGCGGGTTCGATACCACACGTGTCCTCATAGAGCTCAGCGCCGTCCGGATACGAGCGCACGTTTGTACGCCTGTTCTCCTGATACAGTCGGCGCAGAGGGAAGTGGTCGTCGAATGTCACTCTCGAGATACAGCCTATAAAGCCCTCCCCCGTGTCCATCGTCTCATTGCGTCCAATGTATATACTCTTGAGGCGATTGAACTGTGCGTCTGCTTTACCACTAACTCTAAACGTGTAGATTTTGGGCTCATAGTTGTCAACCTGTTTGCACACAACCGTCCCATTAGTAATGGTTTTACACATCAATCAATATGATGTTAAATTATACCCAAACAGTAATCTTTGCGCCCCTATTGGAACGCCTAATAGTGATGTCGTGGTGTTGTCCTAAAGCAAAGTTCTCCTCTTTGATGATAATCTCGTGTCGTTCGAAACCGAAGTCGAAAACGAGTCTTAAATGCCCTGAAATTATGAAAAAAATATATGCCATCAAAATGTTCAGGAACATATGTTACTTTATGACTACAAACCGCTGTTAGACATCATTAGATTGAGATATTCATCGGTAAACGAGGATATGCCGAGAATGAGACCCCTGTGCTCTGTGGTCGTGAAACCGACTCTAATATATTCTTCGAGAGTTGAAATAGAGGTCTCGAAATCATATCTAATATAGAGATCTGATCTGAGATTCACTCCGATCTCATCGGCACAAATGGGTCCCTTGAATGCCGTCCACTGACAATCACAGGTATAGCCGTTGTAGTGGTCAATACAGGTGCCATTGTTTAGGCACGGATTGGACTCGCATTTGCCAACACATCCCTTACTGATGCCATACATGCCTTCGAGCGCATATCGGCCCAAATTGATGGCTTCACCGTTGATTAGCAGCGATCGCAGACACCCGACGTATCCCTCCCTGTACTCAACGGTGGCGCCGATCACGAAATGGGAGGTCAGGTGTAATGGACGGACCAAACCTTGTGTAATACGTTGTTCGTTAGTGAGCTGACCATCGATGACAAGTCGCGCCTCCTTTTTGTTCTTCTCGACTAAGACTGAGTGCCAGTTATTGTCGTTCAGACGATACGAGGCCTCAACGGACACCTGTTGTAATCCATTTCCGGCCGAATACGAGAACTGAATGGTCTTTCCGTTAACGATCGACAACTTAATGAAGTCTTCGGGACCTCTATTGTGGAACAGAACGCCGAACTCAGCGGTGGTCTTGAACTGTAAGTATATGTCGACGGCTGAGCCCATGTCGAAGGGCGACAACTCGATGGTGGCGTCTTCGTAGCGAAAGGTGACGATATCGTCGAAAAGTGTGTCGCCTTCGCATATGAGCGGACCTAATGTGTATCGACCGATACGTCGCGATTGTGCCGAACCTCCAGTGTCTCCAAACCGTAACTGTCGCACCGGCAGGTATTCCCGTTGGGTTAGGTCTCCCTCATCGACGGCAAACTCGTTCTGATTGAGTAGTTCCTGAAGTTATGAATTAAGAAATATTAAGATAACTGAATCACAATATTAATCAAATGTTGTTCGCATACAGTGGCGGCGTCACAGTTGCACCACTTTCGGGGGTCTCGACACGTGCCGTATAGACCGCACTGACATTTGCGAGAGCCGGGCAGACCTCCGCCCCAGTAATCCATTTTCTGGTTATTGCGTGACACCCACCACGAGAATGGCTGCAACTCCTGTCCCAATGGAGCTATTGAATGGATTCATAAATATTACAATCACTGAAACAAAATAAAAAAAACTTTAATATCTGAATACCGGGTGTATTAAGTAGTCGGGCGTTAAGGCACTCGTATTTCAACTTCTGTGAGCAAGAGTTGGATCGGTTCACCACTTCGACGATTTGTTCAAAGGGTGCGTCATATTTGATATCTTGTATGTAAGAGCCGGGCAAATGAAATCCACGCACTTCTGTGGGCTCTTCGTTGCGGTGATGGATAATGATCTGCGACTGATCTTCGGTGGGGAACAGACATGTGGCCCAAAACGGCTCCATAGGTCCGCTCCCGTCCACGTCCAGCATTACATCGGCTTTCCTTGACTTCGGATTATCTATTTTATAGGCCGAACACGACAGCGGGTGTCGGGGCACGTGACACACGCCTCCCAAATAGCCGGTGAGCGCGCAGTCACAGTAGAAGTCGATGTTATCCTGTCGGCAGACACCCCCGTGTTCGCAGGGGTTCGGGTGGCACCGGTCTATCATCTGACACGCTTTGATCGTTATGTCGTTGTCCTGTATTTTGACGACCTTTTCGGGCGGCAGTGTCTCCACATTGACATACCGGCCCTCAACGTATATCCAGCGCATGCAACCAATAAAGCCGACCATTCCGTGATAGCCACCGCCGATCAAATACGTCTGTCCCGTAAACATCTCGAAGGAACGGGTGGTAATGCTGGGGATGTGATCGACGGACAGTATGATTCGGTTGGTCTGGAGCACCAGAACCACAGAATGCCACGAACCCTCATTCAGTTTCTGGTCGAACGGTTCCAACTGGACAACCGGTGTGTTAGAGCCCTGGAATTTGATCACTATTTTGCCTTTTTCTAGGAATAGCTGCACAAAGCCGGCGCTCGAGAACTTGTGGTACAGGAGTAGGCCGTCCTCATTGAAGGTACGAAAGTCGAAACTGGTGTTCATAAAGGGAACCATAAATCCTTCGACTTTGATGTAAGACTCGCCGGTATTGAACGTTATGGGAACCACTTGTGGAAACTGCGTGCAAACAAATACCGGAAATTAGTTTTAACAGTAAATTTCGGGTCAATTAATGTCCTGAAAGGGTCGGACACTTACGAGACACGAGTACTGGATTTGTCCGAGTTTTCCATAAACGAAGTTCCGGTCATCCATTTGTATCTCATATGCAATGTTTGTCGAATTGAAGGTCAGATTCTCTATACAACCGCTAAAGTTCTCTCTGGTGTTCAACGGGTTGTCTATTTTGATGGGAATACCGCCGATGAAGAGGTCGTGATTGAGATTAAGGCGCAGATAATCGCTTTTGAGGAAATGTCGCACTAAGACGCGGTCGACGCTGAACAGTACGTCGCGACCCCTTCGCGAGATCAACACATCGTGCCATAGATTGTCGTCGAGTAGACTCCCGGCGGACACCGACTCGATAAGCCCTCCACCGCCCAAATCCACAGAGAAAACCATCTTATTATTGACTAACTGAAGAGCCATGAAGTCTCCCTGAGTGCCCCGACTGTATAGGATGTTCCCATTGGCGGCGTTCGTACGGAACCGGAACCGAAAGACGTCGTCGTACGAGGAATCGATGGGTCGCTTCTTCAGATCCATTAGAATCAGTGATTGGCCGTCAAAATGCAAGGGAATGGCATCTAATGGTGGAAAGGTATCCGAGTGTTACCATCGCTTATTAAGAAGTGTTTAAATGAGTGACGAGTCTTACGATAGTCGCAGCCGTAGAGTTGGATCCGCATAGAGATCCTGTCCCTCCAACGCGTCGGATTGATTCGTATGTATTGAGCAATGATTGGCGGATCAAACCGATTGATGACTACATTGTTTCCATCGGAGTTGCCTTTAAATAGCTGTTCAAATACATTAATCAAATAAAAAATCTCTAATTAGTATAGATTACATAACATTTAAATAAAAAATAAACTTAAATAAAGAGATAACGAATCAAAACAAAAGTTAGCAAAAAGTTTGTGCAAAACAACCGAAAGTTAAAATAAAAATTATAACAAATGGTTAGTAAGGAGTGAATGCCTGCTCATAGCCCTCGGAGTCAGAGTAAGCCATTCTCCAGAAGTCTCCGCCATCGCTGAGTAACAGATAGTATTGACTAATGTATTCATTAGTGAAAGCTCTGCCTTGAATCGCGATCGCCGTTATGTTATAAGTATTTCCCAAATCAATGGTCAAGTGCTGCAAAAAGTCACCCCTTTCTGCTGTCCAACAGGACGGACCTAATCAGTGATTAGTTCGAGTGGTGTTAGTCATAGAGTCATAGATTAGTGAGAAATGTTTGTTAAGGTATGTGTTAATTGAAACGTGAAATCATTGAAATGATTAGAGAAGTTATGGAAAGAGTGATATTCAATGCAAGAATGCATTAATGGTTAGAATTGAGAGACAAGTGATTAATGTTTGATTCGCGTTAAGAACTGGAACTGTCGACAAAGTTTGCTGACAGGGGAGGTGTCCACCGATCCGTGTGGGCGACCCCATAGGACAGCGTATATTAACCTTAATGTTGCCGTTCCTGTCACGATAGACAGAGAAGTCGTGTCCATCGATTCCGGTCTCTAATTTGAATTCCTGAACGAATTCTTTGGTGTGTTGTCTGCCCTGAGAGCCGATGGCAGAGATGTTGTACTGTCGGCCCAAATCGATTT